ATAAACACCGGTAATCAAAGGCGATCAATTTCTCAGGGGGCATGGTGTACAAGTCATATCCCTAATCACTACAGTAGAAGTAGCCAAAATTGAGGAGCGCTGTTTTTGATCGATAAGCACCTTTCCAAATGTGTTCATAAGCGGCTGAAGATTTGAAAGCCATGTGGGTCTTACCGATCCGAGCTGTTACCTCTTAAGTTATTTAAGCCAAGAGCGATATAGGTATCCGGTGGTCCTACGGTGATGGTGAGAAAAGCAAGCGCAGGCCGAAGGGTCCACAACCTCATAAGAAAAGGATGCGGAGACTCAGTTTATCGGACCTGTAGCCACTGAGTAGGAAAATGCCAAATAGCGTGATGGGTCAAAGGAAACATCACACCATAATAAAATATAGCCGCATTGCATGAGAACTGGGAACTAACATCAGATGAAGGCTAGCATTGCCATTGGGTTAAGACATTTGAACCTTCGTCAAATCTGTCAAGTCTTGCACTTATTCAAGGCAGATATTTGACGAACCCCCAAAGTACGATAACAGCATTGAAGCGCGCAAGCGTGCCGGAACGTTTTATACCTCTGGCAGCGCCAAATTCAAGACGGAAGACGGTGCGAACCTCTGTCAGTAATGAATAAGCGCCAACTCCAGTAGGACGGACCAATATCCGTTTCATACGGGATATCAGCAACTAACGAACCGAGTATTGGGGTCATGTTACATCCGAGTGGTCAAAAATCCGGACACTATACTATGAATAAAGCAATAAGGAGACGAAGACTGCCAGTTGTTAACATCTCGTCGTGCTTCGTCAGTGCCAAAAGACCTTATCAATGGTCATGCATCTTTGTTTGTGAGTGCATTAGTACTGAGGAGTAAATACATGTACCAATTCTTGTCTCCTAAATGCTTTATCCAAATTGCTAGCTGTTCGAAAGGATAACAGTAGCTGAACATGAAAAGGACACCAGGTGGAGACGGTAGTAACAGTATGCAAACTATTAGGGCGGATGACTGCCGTTCCGGCGGAGCCAGCTTCCCACTCTAGGTAAGGTCGGATGACTGGATTGAAACGCATCAGAGATTGTCTGCTAAGTTGCGATTGCGCGAAACTCGAAATAGGCAAACCCAGTCTAAATAACGTAGTGAGAAGGTGAAAACTGGCAGATGTTGGCACTCCATATGGTCTCGTCAGTGCCTAACGCTCCCATGGTGGCTAATCTGCCATCTAGCCCGTCTTTATCGTATCCGGTTACACCCTGTGTTGTTGGCAGCATCCGGTTTCGAATTTGCCTGTCACTGTGGCAAGCCACAGGACATCTGCGCCTACAGAGGGACCATGGATGGCTTGCGCTGCACCACCCCATATCCAGTGTAAACCCGAAGGAATAAGACCGGGAGGCATGTGGATGGGAGCCACATTTCATCAACGGAGCCGGACCACACTCCTTCACAGGCAAACACAAGCACGCTGTATTTGGGGAATCAAGTGCGCACAAAACGGTGGCTAGACCGTAGTCCGCTCTACACTGAGTGCACGGAACCACTCTTCGAGCCTAGCACGATCACAAAGACCGTACACCCCGTCCCCTCCAGCATTGACCAACTGTCTCCTGGAGCCAGTATGAACGAGATAGTGGGTAATAGACAGGTAGGCACCTTGTCAACATGCACATCAAGCGCAGCCACAATTGGGATGTCAAACAACAGCCAATCATACGAAATGCCGATACCAAATAAAAGATATGGAAAAAAGTAACCGTATATGACGACATAAATACTCGCCAAATGAGCATATGCAAGAAATTCGTTATAAGAGAATCCGCGATAAGTACAAAATGTCCGAAAGTTATTTAAAATAACACGTGATAAAGTTACGCAAGTTTACTACAATTAGCATGAGCGACGTGTGCAAGTTAGGAGAAGATTACCAGGTACGCAGAACAAACCAAATAAAGTGGAATGAATTTTATCCACATTAAAAAGACCTAGTTTGAGTGTAAGTTAGTTTAGACCAACTGCGGTGAAGAAGCATCATGAATGCAACATCAACCTCAGCATGGCGCACCCACCACCACCACGGGAGCCTTAGGTTTATGAACAGCTGATTTTGCACACAGCGAAGGTTTGATCCGGCTGGTCGTCAGAGGCTCGGCAAAATACAGGAAGCAAGTGTTAGCATGTCTCAACAAGATTGCGAACATTGTGGTAGAGTCGAATGGATGACAAATTGTCAATAATTGTGTACCCAGGTATGAGGCAGGTGGCTTTCGTGAACAGGTAAGCGAAACCGAAGACTGGGTGATTTTGCGCCTCAGGCATATGTTTCATCACGCTATCGGTTCTGCCCATGTACTGTGCTCCGCAATTACAGATGAATTGGTGAATACCATGTGAATTGACGTCGACAGAGTCATTCCTCCGTTAGGGGAACAGGCACTTTGTAGGTTCGGTCAGTAAGGACAGTTTCGACAGCATAGTAAGTCCAATGAAGAGCGGAAATTATGCGCTCAGCTGTCCCAATAGTGATAAAATCACGCTCAAACGGTAGTTTTTAAAACAATGATAACATCTGCCAGTTTTCGTCTTCTTATTGCGTTATTTAAACTGCTAAAAGGAACTGTTTCAAATTGCTCGAACTCTGAGTTAAGCACAACGCCCTGCTTCCGGACCAATAAAATGTGACGACGATTAGACTCGAATAGATTATGCATTGGCGGTGCACTGGTGAACAGGAAATCTTTTCTTTAAGTCCGTGTCTTCTGATTTTTCAGTTGGGTTGTGATTTTGCGAAGAACCTGATTGAAATAAGCGGAATTGCACGCGGTAGACAGGGCTTAAGAAAACAACTTCGGTTAATCAGAGTCAGGAGTAAATCAATAGATCAACCGGGAATCCGCGCGCAGAAACAATGTGGATCCAATTGCTATGGTTCGCTTCGCCATAGTGAAAATAATGACTGATGGTGAAAGGAAACAAAGGAAGATGAAAAGAAAAAAAGTGTGGAATTAGGAAAAGAGGCTGATAAAATCATTCTGGTTAGGTACTTGACTTCGGGACTAAGGCATGTTTGGTGAGCTAAGAAAAAGCCAAGGTTATGTGTCCCCAGGTCTCACATTCAGGAAGACGAGGTTCATCATGTCATCGGCTGGTCATAATACTGCGGTTTCACTCACCCGAATGTAGTGACGGCAAATAATCAACATTGGGATAGCCAATCAACAGGTAAGCCACAGTGACGTAAGCGAGCTAAAAAAAACCAGCTGCTGGTAGAACAGGTGAACTCCCATTAGCACCGATGATTGAGTGGATTAGAAAACACTTTTAAAATTGGCGAACAATCACAAAGGTGTCTCACAGCTTCATAAATGTTACAAGATGTGATCATACAGGTGGTCGTCACAGGCAAGGAGACATAGATGGTCCACTAAGCCAAGTTGCTCAACGAAATACCGGTCATGATGAAGATAGTGTGTGGCTAACCAACCGACAGAAGTCGAACAAACACGATCGTGTTGGGTCGATACAAGGATGGATGATATGGTGCCCAGACAATA